TTATTCCGGTTCACGGATCGCTGAGTTAGACTGAATCAGTAGGCCTACAAATGATAAAAAGCTAAACTTGAATTGATTGTTGTTATTAAGTTGGCAGAGACAAGGAATATATGGCTTAATGATCTGGCTGAAAGAATGTTGTCTTTATCGATATAGTTATTCGATTGGAGTCTTGGGAATTTGTTTCGTATTGTTAAGGCTAGAAATAAGGTAGTAGTTTTGGAGTCACAGACTCCTTGAAGAAGAGTCAAGTCGGTGAAGGACAATTCATTTTGAATAGGATACTTGAACAACATTGATGTAATTTAAAGAGGCATAGGGATAGTGAAACGTTAGTCAAAGGCAATTGACAGAGTTGGGAAGAGAAATAATAGGACATTAAAACTATTAGTAAAAACCGTTCTGTGACAAATACAAATTGAAGAACTTCGTGCTAAAAGCTCTTAAGTCACAAAATGCTCATTCTGAGATAATAAAGTTCAAATATACTTTGCGTCTATAAAATGTGATCATTCTCATATATTGTCTTGTTCAACGAAGGGACTTGAGTACAGTTTACTATGTTCAAATTTGTGCAGTACGCTTGGCTAAATCTGTTAAGAAAATGTCACAGTTTAGATCGATTTCGACAAAAATGTGACTTTAGTACTGTTATCACTAGGGTATTCATTAGACTAAAGGACTCTATAAAACTAATCCTAATAACTAAAAAAAAACTAACAGCCATATTATCGCAGCAATGTAGTTTTTCTCGTGGCAATGACTAGATAATATATACATTTACTCACGAAAGATGAAACCAATTGTGTCGTGGCATACAGAGCCATCACGTGAGCCCTACAACTCTTTCGGCTGCAAAAAACATGGGGGGAGGGGGGGGGCGGCTCGGATAGTAAAGGGCCCACATTTGCGATGTGAAAAAAATTGCAGTTTCAAATCTAGCTAGTCATATACACGAAACATAACACCACAAGTCAAAATGAATTTGTATCATCAATTTTAAATAAAACCATANTATACATTTACTCACGAAAGATGAAACCAATTGTGTCGTGGCATACAGAGCCATCACGTGAGCCCTACAACTCTTTCGGCTGCAAAAAACATGGGGGGAGGGGGGGGGGCGGCTCGGATAGTAAAGGGCCCACATTTGCGATGTGAAAAAAATTGCAGTTTCAAATCTAGCTAGTCATATACACGAAACATAACACCACAAGTCAAAATGAATTTGTATCATCAATTTTAAATAAAACCATAAATAGAGCCAAATTGATAGTAAAATTACCAATTTATAAATAATGAACATAACATAGGGTGAGTCTCAACGATACTCCTCGGACCTACAGTGGCTTGCTGGCGGGCCGGTAGATACACTAAATAAGAACTTAAGAGTGTCCGTTTTTAAAGCGGAACAAAACGAGGAAATCTCAGCGTTGGTCAAGGAATTTCCCTGTCTAGGGGCCCAGGTCTAACTCCTGCACGGGATGCTTCTCTTGTTGCCGACTCCAAAGACATCACACACAACGTGACCAATCTATCAGAACACCACACAGGATATACATAGCCAATCTATCAGAACATCACAAACGACACAGCCAAGCCATCAGAACACCACATACGACACAGTCAATATATACAGCTAATCAATCAGTAGAGCACCACGCGTAACACAGCCAAGATATCAGAACACCACATACGACACAGTCAATATATCAGGACATCACACACGACACAGCCAAGATATCAGAAATATTTGCTCAATTCAACAAAAATTAATTTTCTGTATTACATGTCAACGAGCACAATCTTTTAAAAACCAATCTCCACCGCAACCCCTCTTTTCAACTTTAGATTAAACATAAATTTCATTCAAGCAGAATTTTAGTAGTCTCAGTCTTAAGTTAAACTTATTTCCTAACCTGTCTGTGCTAGAATGAACAGTAATAGGATACTTTATGCAAGCCCCAAGACAATCATCATCAAAAGAATAAAATGATAAAATACACAAAACAAAGACTAGAATTACAAATTAGCTGAGTTACAGTAGAAGTAGACAGGGAGAGGAGCGTCAGGTGCAAGATACTTGTAGTTTTATAGGGGGTAGTGGCAGTGGAGTAGCCAGGGTTAGTGTCAATCGGGTCAAGCTTTTTGCCTACCCATCCACGAAAAAACTCTCCCGGCGGCTGAAAATACCGCCCTTCAAATTAATGAGAGATTTTATCATTACCCGGTACCGGTATATATTTTTTTAGTTTTGAAATGTGTAATCATATTTTGCGTAGAAAATGGCTTAGAAGCTTTTTTGCTGCATTCTCAACGTGTGCATCATGGAAGTAGTTTTATTGCGTCCATCCGTGGAAGGTGGTCTTATTGCGCCCATCCGTGGAAGGTGGTCTTATTGCGTCCATCCTTGGAAGGTGGTCTTATTGCGTCCATCCGTGGAAGGTGGTCTTATTGCGTCCATCCTTGGAAGGTGGTCTTATTGCGTCCATCCGTGGAAGGTGGTCTTATTGCGTCCATCCGTGGAAGGTGGTCTTATTGCGTCCATCCGTGGAAGGTGGTCTTATTGCGTCCATCCGTGGAAGGTGGTCTTAATGGTAGGTGGTCTTATTGCGTCCATCCTTGGAAGGTGGTCTTATTGCGTCCATCCGTGGAAGGTGGTCTTATTGCGTCCATCCGTGGAAGGTGGTCTTATTGCGTCCATCCGTGGAAGGTGGTTTTATTGCGTCCATCCGTGGAAGGTGGTCTTATTGCGTCCATCCGTGGAAGGTGGTTTTATTGCGTCCATCCGTGGAAGGTGGTCTTATTGCGTCCATCCGTGGAAGGTGGTCTTATTGCGCCCATCCGTGGAAGGTGGTCTTATTGCCTCCATCCGTGGAAGGTGGTCTTATTGCGCCCATCCGTGGAAAGTGGTCTTATTGCGCCCATCCGTGGAAGGTGTAGTGAAATATGAAAGCCTTGTTTAAGGGCCACATCTTTAACCAGAAAGCCAAACATCATTCGAAAGCTTGTGAAAGACTTGTGTAAGGCTCCAACACCATTGTCTATGAATGGGGAAAGACTTAACATGTTTAACAGGTGTACCTAACTTAGCAGCAGATGGTCACAAAACCGTTACCACCAATGACTAACTGAAACTCGGAATCACCAGAGCCAGCATAGCATAGAAATATAATGTAGTGGACGGACCAAGGCTACCTAAAATTGTTAAATGTGTTGTAGAAACCAATGTTCCCTCTATCTCACAGAAACCGCACAGCAGCTTTGAGTATCCCGCGCAGCAAATTTCCATGTAATTGTTTTTGTGGGCTGTAAAAATTTACACACACAAAAATTGATGCCATACAACTTTGCACACAACTGTATGATTTTTGCACTCGAACCAACACAACTTAGAGGGAACATTGGTGGCAACCACTTTCTCTTAAACATAAATGTCATGAACATTCATAAAACAACAAGTATACAGGCTCTCAAGTTCGGTGCATTGTTTTCGTTTTATTGGCAGCAATCTCAAAATAAATTTTTTAAAAGCTCTCAGCTGGACCGAGCATCAGATCATCACGTGATACAATAGTAAAAAAACAACACAGTTCATTTGCTTACTACTTCTTGTCTTGAGTGTCTGGTTTTCTAATCTAGATCTAATGCTCAGTTTTGTGACCAATCGTTAGTGGAAATTTGTACAAGAAAGAACTTTTTTCCAAGCAAATTTTTAGGACAAGTGTTTGTTTGAATGGAAATGTGATCAAACTGAAATTTGTTTGTTCAAAATGAAATAATTGGAAAAAAATGGTATTAAAAAGTTAAAATTTCCCCCATTTATCACTTGCACCTTCCCTTAAAAAAAACACTTTAAAAATAAATAAATAAATCTCCATTTAATATTTTAATTTCAAACAAACTTCTGTTCGAACTAATTTCTTTTCTAACAAACTTTCGAACAAATTTCTTTTGTAAAAATTTTGACCAATACATTACACTGCTGATCCTTCCAAGAGATCTCTCCGACCCTTACACCCACTATTGAGCTGATGACCAGATGAAATAGTGACAGTGTTTCAATTAAAAGACCAGTTGTGTCATGAAAATCTATTTTTAGAATAAGTGCAATCAATTTCCTGTCACAGCAGAAAATTCCGGTATGGTAACTTAAGCCACTGATCTTGTAATGAAGAACATTACATTTGGTAACCAAAGCCGTTAATCTGGTAATTGGTAAAAAAAAGACCATTTAATCTGATACTGAAGACCATTACATTTGGTACATTAATCAAAGCCAATAATCTGGTAATGAACACCATTAAATTCCTAGCGATTTAATGTGGTAGTTAATCTTTTAAAAAGTGCCATTAACCTCGTTCTCCAATAACTAATCTCATCTTCAAAGCCAATAAATTGATGTACAGCAATCAAAAGCATGATTTAAAAGAAGACATGGAAAGACTGCCCCAATAAATAAAAAAAAAAGGAATCAGACTTTATCTGAAGTTGGACTTTCCAAGTCTTTATATGAGAGAGCTTGAATGTTGGCGAGGGATACAAGTATTGTGAGAGATGGTTTGCACTTGAACCTGAAGCAGTTTTTCAATGCCATCTGGGTGAGCCAACCAAAAGATCTGACAATTTGGTTAAACATTTACAGGCAGGCTTGAGATGACTCATTTACAGGCAGGCTTGAGATGACTCATTTACAGGCAGGTTTGAGATGACCAGGTTTTTATCAATTGTTTAATCAGTTATCAATACCAGTATAAAATAAAGATATAGCCGCATCAATCTTGAAAGGTAAAAAAAAAAAAAAAAAAAAAAAAAAAAGAAAAAAAAAAAACAGCAAGGACACACACAGACAGACACACACACACNTCATTTACAGGCAGGTTTGAGATGACCAGGTTTTTATCAATTGTTTAATCAGTTATCAATACCAGTATAAAAAAAAGATATAGCCGCATCAATCTTGAAAGGTAAAAAAAAAAAAAAAAAAAAAAAAAACGTATCAAAATAACCTTTCATTGAAATTTCTAATTTTTAACAGCAACATTGAGCTGATTTTTTCAACTTTACTGGTATGTATTGTTTGATGATTGTGTCAATGTTACAGGTATACAATTTTTGATGATTTATCAACTTCATGTACTTTTGTGAATTCAAACAATTCTGTAACTGGCTAATGCAAATTATTTACTAAAAAAAAAAAAAAAGCTTAGAAATATCTAAGTCTTTAGTTCTTATTTGGAACTGATGGTTTGTTTTAATTTAAGAGGATTAGTTTATTTTAATAACAAACTTCAAAGTTCAGTACTTCACAACATTTCAGTGGCTGTTGTACAATTGTTTGATGATTGTGTCAATGTTACAGGTATACAATTTTTGATGATTTATCAACTTCATGTACTTTTTTGAATTCAAACAATTCTGTAACTGGCTAATGCAAATTATTTACTAAAAAAAAAAAAAAAGCTTAGAAATATCTAAGTCTTTAGTTCTTATTTGGAACTGATGGTTTGTTTTAATTTAAGAGGATTCATTTATTTTAATAACAAACTTCAAAGTTCAGTACTTCACAACATTTCAGTGGCTGTTGTACAATAGCATTAATAGTAAAATGATGACTGGGTGAAACCAATACTAGTATTATATAAATGGTGATGATTGAGTGAAAACAATGCTAGTGTTATATAAATGATAATAATCAGCTGAAACCAATACTAGTGTCGTATAAATGATGATTGAGTTAGTCCTATACTAGCGTATGGATGATAACAGGTGGGTTGAGTTGCATCTAGTGTTGTCTAAGTAATAACAAATGGGCTGAACAGATTTAATGTGCCTAGTGTTAAATGAATAATTATAAAAGTCATGAACTGATACTTGTGTTTCAGAGGGAACTTTTTAAAGTTTAGTTCTCCTCACTGTTTGGGAACTAGGACATCACATTTCTGATACCTGTGTTTCAGAGGGAACTTTTTAAAGTTTAGTTCTCATCACTGTTTGGGAACTAGGACATCACATTTCTGATACCTGTGTTTCAGAGGGAACTTTTTAAAGTTTAGTTCTCATCACTGTTTGGGAACTAGGACATCACATTTCTGATACCTGTGTTTCAGAGGGAACTTTTTAAAGTTTAGTTCTCATCACTGTTTGGGAACTAGGACATCACATTTTTTTTGTTTCCTTTTTCAACTCTCCATAATTGATACCGAAATCAAGATTTTCATTTTTGATCAAATTACTGGTCACTCACTGAATGTTGGCACCACTGGTCACTCGTTGTATGTTGGCACGACTAATTTGACCCGGCACAAGAATTTTTTAAGAGAACCAATGCTTTTCAAACGTTTCACTTTGGTGACACACAAATCATTTGGTGACACAGCACATCATTTGGTGAAACATTTCCTCATTTGGTGACACAGTATTTCAGCTTTACTAAAATACTTGGTGGTCTATTGACCCATTTTAAAACATATGGACACAAACATAAAGGTTAATTTTGTAGTGCATTGTGGCACAACACATCTCATGAGAACCTTTCATTTTCATTGATACTATACGAATATTATTATGTGATTTGTTTAATAATAACATAAGTTTCCAAGATTTGTGTGAATGCTTTTTTCGTTACATGTAAAAATAGGAAATATGTGCAATATTTAAAAAAAAATTTAAAAAAATGATTCGGCTCTTAAGAATAATTATAAAATATACACAAATCAAAATGTCTGATCAGCTCCTTTGTTTAAAAATTGCATGGTATGGCTTATTTTTGCGTGACACACCGACACCCCAGCAGGCAACACACTCGTGTGTCCCAACACATAGTTTAGAAAGCACTTATTTAAACTCTTAAATTATTATAACAGCCGAGTAGTCAAACAGTGAAGGAAACCTCACTAGTCCTAAACTAAATTAATTGCTTTAAACAGAACAGATGTCACTAAATGAAATTAATCCAGTCCAAAGTGTTAAGTTTTGTTTTGAGTCAAAATAAAGGTACATATGATCAATTATCCATTGGGTAAAGCACTGGTTTAATCCGCTCTGAGACAAACAAAACATTGCATGGTTTTTAGAATATTTTTTTTTTCAGAATGAAGGTTGTAATATTTCAAAATGCTCTCCCGGTCCGTCCTCCCCAAAGTGACTGTGGACATGTTTCTCGTACTCAACCTGTGGGGTGTTGCAGTCAAAGCTCTTGCTGCACATTGGACAAACCCTTGAGGTCTCCTGGGGTTTCATGGTCTCTGGTGCATTCTCATCATCAAAGCACTTAAAGACGTGTGTCTGGAAGTCCTCCATGCTGACACGGCTGAAATCTTTATTGCACACAGGACAGAGTTTATCAGAATTCAACCGTGGCTGGTCGGGATCCACCAGGGCCAGACTTTCAGCTGGGACCTGATCAACAGTGTTAATGTACAGACCTCGGCTGGGGTCCATCAATTGAGAACGCAGCCTGTGGGCAGGGGGCCGGGGCTGCGCGACATTATTACCCTCTGTTGGGGCAGCGATCAATGTGTCAACTTTCAAGGCCCTACCGGAGTTCAACAATTGCTGGCCTTGCCTGTAGGAATCCAGCTGAGATTTCTGTTGCTGTATAATTGGACTCTTCATATTCTCGTAGCTTCTATACATGTTCTCTTGTTGCTCATCAACACCATGCTTAGAGGCTTCCCACTTGCTCTCATTGACTGGCATGTGGGATGGGGCAGTGGTGGCACTAGCACCCAGCTGAACCATGTCATGGCTGAGCTGATCCCTGGCCAAGGGTTGATCCGGCTTAACTGGCCAGATCTGTTGTTTCTGCAACTCTCCTTGGTTTTGTTTTTCAGGATTGTGGGCAATGGTGGCCGACTTGCTGCGAAGGAAGTTCTGGTTAGACTGCTCCTCCGCTATCCTGCGGCTCAAGATTTCTGACTGTGTTGCTTTGTAATGGCGGGGTGAAAGCATTGGTACGTAGCCAGTGGTATCAATGGGTAATCTACCAGAATCTCCCATGGCTTGCATTCCATTGGATGACTTTTGTGGAGGTTTCTGCGAATCAGTTCCAGTGGGTCTACTCAGGTTTCTAGCCATGCCGTTAGAATAGGCATTCTGTGATTTCAGAGTATCCATATTGCCAGGCTCAGGCCCATCACCTGTCATTTCTAGTAGCCCTCCGCTGGCCGCGGGCATCTGCTTCACACTGCTTCCTTTATGCGTCGGCGACGATCTGACCTCCCACACATTATTTCCAGACTCAACTCTGTTGGTCAAATCAGGTGTTGACTGTCTCAGTGTGGGCGGTTGAGTGGGTGGTAGAAATCTCTGAACTGCTGCATCCCCCGGCCCTGCCGACTGAAGCGGCTGCCTGGATTTAATGCCGGGAGACTCCCGGCCAACAGTGTTTGACCATTCTGAGGTATTCCCAGAGGGTCCTCCAGTAGCATTGGCTGACTGTGGGGGAGTTCCATTCTTTCCACTCAAACTATTTGGAGATCCTGAAACAAGTAAAAAAGATGCGTGAAGGTTTTTTTTCTTTTTAAAATGATTAGTACTAGACTTTTTGTAACCTCTCCATAATTATAAGAATAGATTTCTTCGTTATTTTTAGTAGTGAGATAAAGTTTTAAATGTCATGCGCGGAGGAAAAGGAAGGCAGTTGAGGAATGAGATCGAGCATGGAGAAATGTGCACTTGTATTGTGAATTTGCTCTTGATTTGATTTAAGAATATATCTCATAGAATTGGAACAACTATTGTGTATCCGTTTGGATTATGAAGTGTATGACGCATGTGAGATCATGACAATTATTTTATTCCAATTTTTAAACCTATTTTATATTGAGAATCTTCATGTCAACGTCAATAACAGTTAAATGGTGATGAGATTATCTTCATTGTCTCCTGCTTTCATAGCAGGTTATCCATTAATAATTAAGAATATTGGACTGTAATCAAGACACAACTGTGACACTGGTTACATATTAGTTAAAAGTAGCACTAGAGGAGCAGTGTTATACTTTTATTAAAGGCAGCAGTGGTGATGACAGATGAACAAAATAGTTCTTCTATGAGGATCTAAGAAATTTATATAAAAATTATTTTTAAAAAAAAAAACCACTTGTGTTAAGAACAGAAGAGTTAGGTAGCAGAGATTGCAAGTTTTTAGTCAAAATACCTAAAGTCATATTCAGTCTACTACCGATAGAATCTTATTCAGTCTACTACCTATAGTCCAAGTAATATGCAGTCTACTAACGAGAGTCATATTCAGTCTAGTTCCTATAGTCAAGTCATATTCAGTCTACTACCAATAGAGTCATATTCAGTCTACTTCCTATAGTCAAAGTCATATTCATTCTACTACCTATAGTCAAACTAATATTCAGTCTTCTTCCTATAGTCAAACTAATATTCAGTCTACTACCTATAGTCAAAGTCATATTCAGCCTGATACCTAGAGTCAAAGACATATTCAGTCTGAGACATATGGTCAAAGTCATTTTCACTCTACTACCTATAGTCAAAGTCATATTCAGCCTGTCAGTCATTGTTGCGTTGAGATGTCCATAATGCCCTGGACACCGCTTTTGAAAACTTACTCATGTTTAACAGAAAATAACGCTGCTCCATGACGGTACTCTTAAGTGTGTCCACAACCTTGTGGAGGTACTCCAGCTCCTGGCTGCAGGCCACATTTCCTAGGGACTGACTGTTGCCATTACCAGACAGGGAATATTCCTTCAGGCTCTTGTTCTCTGTTTCCAGTCTGGACAATGATTCCTGGTCGCAGGGAAAAATGGGGGGATTTACAGTTTTAATGGGGTGTTTGAAAGCATCAACATTTTATGAGAAAATATTTTTTTGTTCAATCAGTCCACGTGTACTGCATTATGCTGATTGTTTTTTGTGTTTAAGAAGTTGACTGTCTGTTTGAACATGACCCTTAACAGGACTGAAATACACTGGTCTCACACCTCACCTTCAATGTACAGTTCTCAACTTCAATGTATAGTTCTCAACTTCAATGTATAGTTCTCAACTTCAATTTACAGTTCTCAACTTCAATTTACAGTTCTCACCTTCAATGTATAGTTCTCACCTTCAATGTATAGCTCTCACCTTCAATGTATAGTTCTCAACTTCATTGTATAGTTCTCACCTTCAAAGTATAGTTGTCACCTTCAAAGCATAGTTATCACCATCAAAGTATATTTCTCACCATCAATGTATAGTTCTCACCTTCAAAGTACAGTTCTCAGCCTTGTATTTACTCAGCTCCTCCACCAGCTCAACGGCCCGACAGTTTGTTCTGCGCAGGTTGTCAAGCTCCATGATGCTCTGCTGGTGCCTCTTCTGGGCTTCCAGGTAAGAGCCGTTGAGAGCCTCGAGCTTTGTCTGGAGGAGTGTGTTGTCATCTTGCAGTGCTTTCATTTCATGTTTCAGTGCTGCCAGCTCATCCAGTGCCTCATCCTTTTCTTTGGTTGCAATCATGAACCTGGAGACAAATGTCGGCCATTAGTGCATCCCTGCGGAACAAGGTGGGAAATGGGGGCCATTCTGTGTGCTATGGGACCATCCACTTATTGCCTGGGGATTCAACTGTGTGCTAATGGACCACCTGCTTACTGCTTGGGGATTCTTTTGCAGGTTTTGAGGCAGTGTAAGTTTAAAATGAATGTCATAACCAAATTTGTTTTTCCAGACTTTTTGGGAAATTGTGATAAAAATGTTATAGCATTTCATCTATATGTTTATAAATAGCCACAGACGTTTTAAATCATAATATTCTCCCCTTGAAACATTTCATCAGTATTATTGTTAAATTTGATTCTTTTTGGTAGTATTGAAAGATCTTAAGACTTATGCTTCTCATTTCCAAGTCTGGAGAATTAAAAAAATATATTTGTGGTGTGTTGAATACACCTTGTATTTTAAAGGTAAAATATTTGTTAATGGTAAAATAGAAAATGGTGTCCACCTAAAAATTTAATAGGGATCATTTCATTGTTTTACCTCAAAGTCAAACACTAAGGCAAACGATGCCTTACAAAAGCAGAGTAATTCCTTTTTGGAAACAAAACCTTGAAGGATGTGCGGAAAAATGTTTTCTTTCTGAATGCTAGGTCCACTACACACAATACTGTTAGAAGTATAGGCCACAATTTATTTGGTACCAAATTTAAGTCTTTAAATAGGTGTGAGGCCTAAATTGGGGATGTTGTGAAAAATTTAAAAAATAATAAAAGTACTGGTATTTGAGAAGACATACACTAGTAGCCAGGGGTGGTAACAGGACTGACCCATCAACACATCCCTAAAAACTATAGGTGATAACAGGACTGACCCATCAATACATCTGTAAGTAAGTATGGGTGATATCAGGACTGACCCATCAACACATCCCTAAAAACTATAGGTGATAACAGGACTGACCCATTAATAAATCTACTAGTAACTATGGGGGGTATCAGGATTGACCCATCATGATATCCCCTTGTAACTATTGGAAGTTAGCTATCAGGATTGACCCATCACAATATCCCCTTGTAACTATTGGAGGTGAGCTATCAGGACTGACCCATCACGATATCCCCTAGTAGCTATTGGAGGTGAGCTATCAGGACTGACCCATCACGATATCCCTTAGTAGCTATTGGAGGTGAGCTATCAGGACTGACCCATCACAATATCAGGACTGACCCATCATGATATCCCCTTGTAACTATTGGAGGTGAGCTATCAGGACTGACCCATCATTATCAGGACTGACCCATCATGATATCCCCTTGTAACTATTGGAGGTGAGCTATCAGGACTGACCCATCATGATATCCCCTTGTAACTATTGGAGGTGAGCTATCAGGACTGACCCATCACAATATCCCCTAGTAGCTATTGGAGGTGAGCTATCAGGACTGACCCATCACAATATCCCCTTGTAACTATTGGAGGTGAGCTATCAGGACTGACCCATCACGATATCCCCTAAGTAAATATTCGAGGGTGAGCTATCAGGACTGACCCATGATGATATCCCCTCCTAACTATACCATGAAGACTCAGCTCACCTTGATGACCACTGCTCACTTTTGTACATGTTGGCCTGCAGCACAGTAACCTGCCTCTGGAGATATTTGATGTGGGCGTCTTTGACGTTCTCACCTAAGCTGTCATTGGTCTGGGAGCCTGTTAGAGATAAGATAAGATTCTTTTATTATCCAAACAAATGGAAATGTTTTATGATTGCATTATACATTTTCAGCACATAAATAAAACAATTTGAACACAAGATATTTATAATAAATTATTTCAAACAGCCATTCAGTGAGTTCTCTTAGCCAAATCGGGGACTTATTAGTTCTCATTAAGATGTGGGACTTCAGAGGGACCACGCTGGTAAATTTGTACAGATTGGGGAACAAAAGAATTTTTATATCTTTCAGTCCTCGCCCTGATGGAAAGAATTCGTCCCGAACGTCCCGATCCTAAGTTTTCTGTGATCAAGAGGGTGAGATGTATCATCCAAAATGTGTTTAGTTTCACCATGCTGTACAAGATCAAAAATGGGCTGGTCCACTGCTCCAGCATCAACAGAAACTTGTCCATCTCCCCTCTAGACAGCGACGAGGCCGCGACAGGGAGTTTCAGCTAACAAAATCCAGAACTCAGTACAGGAGCTCCTCATTTTTCCCAAAGACAATAAAGGACTCGAACAAGCTTACAAAAGCAACAGTCGAGGCGACTACACTTGACACATTTGCAGCTTTTGCCTCCTGTCTTACAAACCCAGTTCATAAAACCCTTGCTGAGTAGCCCTGCAACCAGTGAAGTATCCCCTTGAAAATCACGCACAGTAACATCGTGAACCCCTCTGAAACATAGGAGCCAGAATGATCAATCCATCATGGATCGTGGGCCCTCAAAATATAGAAGAAGAAGACAAAAACATCTTTCTTCAAAGAGTTCTTCAAGTGAAGGATGTTTAGTTTGTGTTATGTCCCTAGCTTTCTTGATTAGTCGGTTTATGCGGTGTTTAATATCAGACGTTGAATTCCCACATCAGCAGATAATACTGAAATTAAGTAGGCTTTCAATTGTTGCACTTTAGAATAAGTTAACCACTTGCTTGTTTACGCCGAAATTGTACATTTTTTTGAGGTAGAACAGTCTTTGGTTGAATTTCTTATAAAGAATTTGGCAGTGCTCATGCCTTGCTAGCTTATTATTAATGGTGACACCTAAGTACTTATATGCCTCCACTTTCTCTACACTTTGATTTTTTATTTTGAGATCTGTAATCTGGTGTTTCCCCCTTCTGAAATCAACAACCATTTCCTTTGTTTTTGAGACATTCAGCTGGAGAAAATCTTCATTGCACCATAAGGTAAGGTAAGAAGTAGGTAAGGTAGGGATAAGGTAAGGTAAAGTAGGGACAGGCTAAGGTAAGGTAGGGATAAGGTAAGGTAGAGATAAGGTTAGGTAAGGTAGGGATAAACATGCACATACATAAGATGCAGTCAAGGTTAATAGAGAAACAGCACGTACATAACTAGGGTTTGGCTCAAAAGCTCAACAAACCTCATTAACCTAGTCACCAAGAGTATTGCTGTGGAAAATGTTTGACAAGAAGAGACAACAATTGTAACGAGCCATAGTCTGAAGTGGGATTCATTTAAAAAAAAACAAACAAACTGTGGGGCCCCTTTATTATGCTCATGATAAATTGAATGCCTTGTAAACATTTTATGCTATCCAAGATGGTTTTTTCAATTTATATTTGGTCTTGGGATCATAAATTATCTCTTATTTGTTTATATCATATTTTTAACTCTGCTGCAACATCATGGTAATAAAGAAAAATACAAACACTGAGAGAATATGTCCTAGAATTTTAGACCATCGATCTTTTTCTTTCTATCTATTTTTAAGCCTAGGAAATGATTTTCCCCATGTTCAACACACGTGAAGAGTTTTGTTAAACTTCCAAGACAATGACATAAAAGAAAGAATTAATGATCATTTTCTTTCTTACAGCTTGCTGTAAAATAAACAAACCAGTGTCTCCATCAACTTCCATTTTATAGAACCTCAGCGGCGGTACATGATGATCCAGCTTCTTATGGTACAGAAGGGAGACCATTACTTGGAATACACCCTTATTGTACTTGTCATGATACAAAGGGAAGACGATCAAACTGAGCTTCAAAGTTTAATACCCAGTAACATAACCGACTGATTGCACCCACCTTCTATTTGCATGTACTGAGAATCAGACAGACCAGGAGAGCTCTTTAATGAGTTGATAAATTGCTGAAGTTCTGCCTCTCTTTTCCTTCTGTCCTCCAGCTCTTTCTGCAGGCTGTTGACAAGCTGTAAGAGAATAGGGTACATGAAATAAATGCTTGCCGAAATAGTAAAGCATCAGAAAAAAAGCATGAGCACGCGATCTAGTTTTTCATACTACCTCCTTCTCATCACGATCCCCCCACCCCTCCTCGTTTTGGAGAAATTGTTCCTTAAATTTAACAAATTAAAGCATCTTGATGAATAAACTAGGGTAACTCTGGGGATGGTGGTATTTGAAAGTTCATCTATTTTTGGTAACTGACAAATCAACACACTTCCTAGTTCCTGAATCCTCCTGCCCCCCCCCCCCCAACCAGTTGACACCAGTTGCCCCAGGGCAGAACTCATTACCATGATTGCGATAACATTGACTTTCCACCATATTCCAACAGAGCCATTTCTGGTTACAAAGCCTGTTGGTTGAGTTCCTGAACCCCCCTCCCCCCCCCCCCCCAACCAGTTGACACCAGTTGACCCAGGGCAGAACTCATTAGCATGATTGCGATAACATTGACTTTCCAACATATTCCAACAGAGCCATCTCTGGTTACACAGCCTGTTGGTTGATATGGACAACACAAAACAATTTTAAATGAAATAACCTTCTTACAGTAAATCATATGCTAAAAATGCCAACACATACCAATAGGACCAACTCAAAACCAAAGCATAGTGTAGGCGTTTTTACCTGTTTATAATCCATGATAGATCCTGGACTGCCAGGTGCACCAGTGCCATTCATGGTGCCCTCGAAAAGGTGATCATTTCTCTTCTGAGAATCATAGAGCTCGTACGAGTCCTTTACATCGGCGGCTTGACCACCCTGTTCCTCCATCGCACTTGTTTTAAAAGATGTCAGTGGTGACAAAACTGCCCCCTCATATCTGATGTTATTCCACATGGAATGATTGGTGCTTTGGTCCTAGGTAAGGAAGAAAGTTACTTTAAAAACATAAAAAAACAAAGAGTTGAATGGCATTTGTAAAAAAAAATTTTTTTAAAGATGAAAAAAAATCAGTAATTATAAGCTAAACGTTTGATAGTGAAGAAATGAGAAGTTATACTTGAATAAACAGGGCACTGTCTCTGCTTAGTTTGTTAGACATGGGGATTCAATCAGGGAAATCTGTCAATGTGCCTCTACTTTAATTTCATTTCTAAAATGCTGTAATGAAATGCATGATCGCTGGTAACAGAATACAATGGGTAAGTTCCTTTTTATGAAAAGCGCACTATTTGAATCACACTGCGGACTTCAATTTATCTTGGAGTGACGCTGTAAATATAAATATGGTAAACGCTCAAATACTGATAATGCTTATAAATTGCACTAAAACATTTAGCAAAGTTGGTGGCCACAGGATAAAAGAATTATAAACTAAACTTATCCATGATTGAATATTTTAGTGTTGCTGCTGTACATTTGAATGTATGCGGCTCAATTGTGCACATTCATTTGATCCTAAAATAGATGACGAGGTGTCAATCAATGTGCACAGAGATCAGGTCATCAAGAGAGCATGAACATGTTTAATGGCTTCAGAATGAGTCCAATTGGTGGAAAGGTGGTGGGTCACCTTAGAGAAATTTAATGGGTTTTTTTTGTTGCTGTTGTTTGTTTGATGTGTTGCAAGATTTGTTCTGATGGTCAATGATGATGTGTGTTTCAGTTTAAGGTAAGTGGTCAATGCTTTGTTGAAGGCCATGTGTGTTGTTACCTAGAGGAATACTGCAGTGCTATCTTTCTTTTATGGTTCCTAGAGGTTACTGCTGTGCCATCTTTCTTTTATGGTGCCTAGAGGTTACTGCTGTACTATCTTTCTTTTATGGTTCCTAGAGGTTACTGCTGTGCTATCTTTCTATTATGATGCCTAGAGGTTACTGCTGTGCTATCTTTCTTTTATGGTGCCTAGAGGTTACTGCTGTGCAATCTTTCTTTTATGGTGCCTAGAGGTTACTGCTGTGCTATCTTTCTTTAACTTTTATGGTGCCTAGAGGTTACTGCTTTCTGTTATGTTATTAATCATTTTGTTACCACTTTGTTTAATAAAGTGATCAAAAATAAATAAATCAGCACTGTCAACAGATGGATATTTACTGGTCCCTGCCAATATATGATCCATGTCAGAAGTTGGTCTGTGTCAATAAATGATCCATGTCAGAAGTTGGTCTGTGTCAATAAATGAGACATGTCAGAAGTTAGTCTGTGTCAATAAAGGATCCATGTCTAAAATTGTCTGAAAGCTTTGGTTTTTTTTACAAAAAGATAATCTTTTATTTTTCATTGACTTGATAAAAACACATTAGTTGTTTTTTAGCATTTAACTCTTATCTTTTACGCGCACAACTCTGTTATACAATTCTATCCATCCACCTCATCTTTTGCATGATCAACTGCCTTATATAATTCTAAGCATTAACCAAACAATGCACTTCTGTGGTGTTGCTAAGGCACCATTGATAGCATAACAGTTATAACCTAAATAGCTTTATCTTTCCTTTTCTTTAACTTTTTTCCTAGAGATCATGAATAGTTATATACATTTTGAGAATGTTATACATTAAATTTTCATGTATCTTTCTTATAACACTACTTTAGAGATTGTAGTACTAGTAGGAGCTGTTGTAGAAGGTGCCAGTAATGCATAGATTAGCATTTTATTTTTTTAATATCAGTGGCTTAATTTTAATTATCCAAAAAAAAAAAAAATTACTCAGATTCATTATCAGAACAAAATGAATTAATAACATCTAATACACATAAAATATTTTAGAGCCTGCAATTTCATTAGAGTTGGTAGGATTATCAGCAGCACAACTGTGCTAGTAAACAGCAACCAACGGGCAGTGTAATCGCTGATTAAACAAAAACACACCGTAAGAGAAATCCTGAAAAAAAAGAGAGAGAGTAAACAAAACAACCAACCTGCCTGCTCAAAGCATTCTTCAGCTCTCTAAATACAATAAAATGAACTTATTACATGCCTGGTAGGTCAGGAGAAAAATGTGAACTGGTGATACTCTCTTTTTTTTTCAGGCTTTCCCCAACATGTGTTTCTAATTTCCTATTGTAAAACTTGATCGCAGTTTACCCTCTTACAATTTTTAACAATGAAAGTGACACTACAAAATACTTCTACAATATAATAATAATTAGTGGTCTTTTACAGCTCACCGCGCTGTACATAAAAATATTATCAAAAGAGACATAATCATGACATTAAAATCATATACAATTTTGAAATAAAGAACAGCATGAACCCCATGACTTTTACAAGGCAAACCATGGACGGCAGCCAACAAGATCATTTATCGGTCAGAGGAGGGAAATCAGTCAGGGTAGTATAGATTAAAGAGATGTGTTTTGAGTACAGTTTTGAGGGCCTGGGTGGTTAGTATATTGCGGATGTGTAGTGGCAAAGAATTCCATTGTTTGGGGGCGCAGAAAGAGAAAGATCGTTCACCATATGTTTTAGTGTTTGTCTTGGGAATGGACAGAACATGCTTGTCTGCGGAGGAGCGAAGCTGTTGAAGAGGTGAATAGAGAGAAAGAAGTTCGGTTAGATAGAAAGGGCAGGAATCCGAGAAAAAGTTGTGACAGAGAACACACAGCTTGTAGTCAATGTGTGCCTGTATAGGGAGCCAATGAAGTGAGTGGAGTAATGGAGTAACGTGATCACTTTTTTTGCCTTTAGAACTAGCCTAGCAGCTGAGTTTTGAACTTTCTGCAGTTTTTCTATGAAGTTTTTTGGTTAACCTGACAGAAGAGAGTTGCAATAGTCAAGTTGAGAGAGAACAAGAGCACAGACTAGAGTTTTTGTAGCGCTAACTGTGAGGTAGTGGCGGATGGAACTGATCTGACTGACGGATAGCGGTGTATGCTGAACGACAAATGTGAGAGATATGTTTATCGAAAGACATGTTGTTAAAAATAATATAACCAAGATTCCTAGTAGAGGGTGTAAACAGTATAGTATATACATATTTACTACCACATATACAAATAGCAAGGTTCTTATTCTCATTGTTGCAACTGATGATCTATCCCAATTTTGCAATTAATGAAATAAAGGTTAAAAAAGACTTTTAAAAATCAATTCACAGTTAACTTAATATGTGCATGAGATTGCTTTTTTTCAATGAAGTGGCTCACTTTGTATGGCACTCCAATGATTGATGTTTTCTAAGGGGTGCAATATGATCTCTAAACGTTTAAGAAGGCTCATGTGAGTTGGTGCCCAGGGCTATTGACATGAGTTGTTTTGGTTGGTGCAGTTTTGTGACAAGTGCACAAATGGTTCTATGAAGATATCAGGCACTAATAGCCAATCAGTAAAGACAAGTGACATAACACATTTCTAGGCGATATCTCCCCCAATAATTACAAAATTGTCAAAAAATTTTGACCCACTCCCCTTAACACATAAACATAAATTTGTGACCGTCCTCTTCCCCCCTAGCACCCCCTCCCACCTTTAAAGATGTGTGATATCATTGATTTATGGCCCATAATTTAAAAAAGGGCAGTTAGAATTAAAAATATGTGGATCTTAATACTAATTCTCAAGCCTTGTTTATTCAATAAGTTAGCAATTACAGTGACATGAAGTAAATAAATAGCATTGTAGTGTCTCTTCTCAGAATGAAGTAATTGAGTATTACCTCTTTGCCTCATAACAATTATTGAAATGTCACAAAAAACCTGTAGTCCTACTAACACTTGCAAAATAAATTAACTGTAAGAGCTATTGGGCTATTGAAAAATTATTTTTTTTAGCCCAATAGGCCACTTGAGCCCAATTAATTGAATTAGATATTTGATAAATTAATACCTCTACAAAACAACAATTTAAACACAGAACAAAAAACCTAGGGCCAATCCTAGGCTACTTAATTTCTCCTTTTCTTCTAGCTAAACTTTAACATGTTAAGATAAGATGGTATTAGAATTTAGATAGCTAATAAGTCTAAATTTTTGTTAAAAAAGGCTTTCACTTAGTGAGCTATAATTTTTTAGAATATTTATTACTTTAAATTTAAAACTATTCTGGCTATATAATTAAAGCCCTCTTACTTACTGAGCCACTTCAGTATTAATATTGACTTTATTCAATGATTGGTGACAAACAAAAATTAAAGAAACATTTTTTGTCATGTCATATTATGTCCCAACCTGTGGGATAAAAAAAAACTGGAGAAAAAAAAGTCCTAATAAATTGTACAACAGCATGAAAAACTACCAAAAAAATAAAAAGTTCAAAATGTCTAATTTAAAACTTTATATCATTGTTTTGAATTCATTCATCCCTGTGGCACTATAGCCCATGTAGGACTTTGAATGTATGAATAAAAAAATTAATCATCTCCCCAACACTGCGCACACATTTTAGCACGTTAACATCAGTTATAAAGGATAGATCACATCTTTTAAATAAAAATAGATTGTTTTAAGTCCCATTTTTTTTCAAATTTTGAATTTTTTTACTGTTCCTATACATAGGATAAATTAATAATGCTGGTCATTGATTGATAGTAATATTAAAATTAAATATGTCTAACTATTTAATTTTAAAAGAAATTCTTGTTAAGAAATACACAAACAAATTTGTAATTATGGTTTATTTCTCAAAGTAGTTATGGTACTATCATGCTTCTCTGTTTTAGTATTAATATAAATGAATGATATCAATGAAACCATTCTGTTTTTAAATTTGCATGGCTTATGATCCTTAATACTTAAAATAGCCCTTTTGAACAAATTAAAATGATTTAAGCTTCTTGTTGTCCATCACTGAATTTAAAGCACCACAGGTTGTGTCATGTGCAAAAATATTTATTTTCTCAACCCATGAAAAAGAAAACAATACCCTGTACAGCCATACCTCTTGGAGAACCTATAAAAACTGTACAAAGCATGGGTAAACCATGCAGATTGGCATGTATGGTTATGTAAGGGCTTTAAATGATAATGATATAGAGTATATTATTATTATATATACCTAGGCTAACTTACACTAGACCTAGTCATAAATCCTCAATCTAACAATTTTGTAATTCAAAAATATCCTAGTCCTAACATTTGGCAAACTGGTGATATCAAATAAAAATACATAATACATAGTTACATAGACATAGACAAACTACACAATCAGGATCTGGAAGCTGGAACACTTTTTGTCATTCCCTAAGTGTATTCTGGGCTGTAGTCTTAGTGTGTAGCACAAAAATTACTAGTACAAATAAACACAAACAATAGATTCTTAATTAATAGAAGATTGGTCATTCAAATAACGCAACAAGTCTTCCTCCTGGTGGTGACTCTTTCTATTAAATATGGGGAAAGTCATTCCCGCTATCAATCATCAGTGATTAATCCGTGACGCAATGACTGGTTGGGATTGGCCAAACAAGAAATCAAATATCTTAGCCTTAGCTTGAAAGCTGCCAAGACTTAGCCCATTTAATTATTTTTCTTTCATTGGTATGATTAGTATCACTATTTACTATTTAGTTTAGTATTTAATATTTTTGATACGATGATGATTGACAATGAGGATGGCAAATAATGTATCTACTTCTCCAAGTAACTAACAAGCATAAGGTTACAGTTACAGAAAAAAAAAACATTATTTGTACTGACATTTTTGATTGACAAGTCAATAGACCAAAAAATGGAATCATCATGAGGGATATATTACCAAACTGTTGGTAGTGATGTCATTTTTATTGACGATCGTGAAGGTGGAACATTAACATCGCCTCCCTTGGCTGGATAATGGCGACTTCCGCACAACTTGACAACACACCATTGTGCTATTTTTAGAACTAAAGGTCTTCCCCATCCAAGCAAGATAAGCAATTAAACAAATAACATTGAAACAATTCAAAGCAGTTATCATTCTTGTTAAAATGCTGTCGAAATTTTTTTGAAAACTAAACAGAAAGACGTGACATATGAATTCTCCTTAATCACCAAGGACAGACACTTCTGATGATTATTTTTGTTAAATATTTATGAAAGAGGCAGAGGGAAAATGAAGTTTTAAATTCCTGATAATACATGTTATGAGTACGAGAGATGCGTTCAAGCGAGGTGGGGGGGGGGGAAGAGTAAATAAATAGTGGAACAAGACATATATTGGCTTGAACTGAAAAGAAGAGACAGATAACTGACGTTTCGGCTATTTGCCTTCTTCAGCAGACAATACAAAACAAGAAACAACGGATACCGTACTTAAAATTAAAAATAGAAATAAAAACTTTTTTTTTCGAATATCCCAATTCTTTTAAGGTTCCTCAATTTTCTAGACATTTTATTCTTTCTTTCTATTGATTTTTTTTTTTTTTTTGTGTGCTTTTGTTTTGTTAATTAAAACCTTAAAACCCATCTGTTTAGGTCCGCCTATGACCTGTGATGCACCCTCCTTGCCCTGCCTCATTTTCTGTCTCGGGTTGATCCTGTAGTATAGGCCAAAACGTGCCAAAGTGTCCTCGTAGTATAGCCATTTTAATTGTTTCTATAGTATAGTAGTTACTATCCTAGTGTCTCATTTTTATTTGACTTAGTTTACATGTTTTTAATAATTGTAAAGCGCTTAGAGCTTTAAGGTAAGCGCTATATAAAAATGCATAAATAAATAAATAAATTTCAAGCTCAAACCTTTCTTTTCCCCACTATTTCGAACTCCAAAACAGTGATAGTACCGATACTGACAGATTTGCCCCCCAAAAATTAATAAAAAACTAGTGTCACTCATTGTTTAGTAGAGCTGATTCGTAAAAAAAAATCATTGATTGCTAATTAAAATTTCCGTGTCACATGCAAGTTACGTTTACTTGTAAAGTTTGAAAATATCGTGGTCTCACACTATCGTGGGTCTAATACGATCTTTCAATGACACAGAGAGATGATTTGGGGATCAACGTACTGGGGACGACATTCGTCAGAATATTCAAATTTATAGGAATATAATTTATATAATAAGTTAAATGATATTAAACGTATGAAGTAATGTATAACTAAATTAATTATTCTCACCGATCGAGGTAGTCACAAAGCTGCCTACTTGAAGTTAACCAATAACGAACATCGCGAATGGTCGAACTGTAGGCCCATTGCGACTGACAAGCACAAATTTACACATGGGGCAAACCGTCCCTATTACAAGCACCTATGTATAACACTTATTTCAACGCCCAGCGAGGTCAAGGATGTTCGAATGTCACATATCACATAACGCAGCCGAATGGTGTATAAAGGACCTGGTGTTCTGATGCGGGCTGTGTAGGCCTACTTCCTACTACTACTGCTAGCGCTTACTTTACTGGCGTGACAGTAATCTCTAATCTACAGCGGTTTCAATCGCGTTTTATCTTGCGACACAGTAAAAAAGTAATTGCTTAGCTTTTACGACACACAATACTGCAAGTATAAAGAAAAACAAAAGTTGTAGGTACCGTGTTAGCAGCTTCCTAGAATATTGTTTATTATTGGACAGTTGACAGCGGCGTAGCGAAGGTGTTTGGCGCCCGGGGACAAGATTCGCGCCCGGGGACAAGATCCATTTTAAAGCGCCCCCTTTTTCTTTTTTTTCAACTCTCTAACCCATTATTTTCATTAATAAAATAATATCAAAGCACATTTTGGCGCCCCTAACTACCTGGCGCCCGGGGACATCTGCCCCACTGCACCCCCCTCGCTACGCCTCTGACAGTTGAATTTCTTCAGGTGCAATCTTGCCTTGAGTTGCTGGAATCTGTTACTCATCATCTCAATAGAAAAGACCCCCTTAACATCTTTTTTTTTAAACTCATGAATTTCCGTAATTTAATTTTATTGTAAAACTCTAGCAACACACACACACACACACACACACGCGCGCACGCACGCACGCACGCACACACACACGCACGCACGCACGCACGCACACAAACACACAAACAAACACACACACACACACGTGTACCTTGTGCCATAGGACACCAGGTTGTCGCGATACACTGGTTTCCTTCGTATTATTTTGTTTTGCCAGAGGGTATAGTGCGTTAAAAAAGAAATTTGACGAACATTTTAACGTGTGAGCGGAAAAAAAAGATTCGACCAAATTTACGTTCGATCAAATTTCCGTCGATCAATTTTACCGTCGACGCAATTTCTTTCGATCAAATTTCCGGTAACCGATTTCTTTCTCACATGACACTTCTATTGCTGCCCACAGATACCACTTACCAGCTAAGTGCTATTTCTTATTTTTATTTGTATACCGTTTTTTCTGTTGTTTTGTTCGCTGACGAAGGCTTTCTGCCGACACGTTCGCTGTTTTGCTGCGTTTATTTTTTCAGGTTTAACCCTACTCTGTTTTACTCATTTTATTTTGTACTAACCTGATTGCAGTCTCTCCCCTCATTAACCGATTTCCTTGATCTACACGGTGAAAGAATAATCATGTAATACACAGATAGAGCCCGTGCAGTCCTATGTCAGCATACCATTACGACATGACGTCGGCGTGAGTGCTTCTGTTTATGGCGTAAACCATGGGTGGGCAAACGTTTTGTGCGGAGAGCCACTTCGTCAATCAATTGTTAAGCTATTGGGGGGGGGGGGGGGCGCATTTACATTATGTCCAATTTTTAA